TACTTTAAGCAGTACTCTATCTTTTTACAACTAACTTTTTTAGTCTGTATTATCTTTTTACTTGTTGCACTTTTCTTTGCTAAGCTATTAGCTTTGTCATTTTACCTATTCTTATTATAACTTTTCACTTTAACTAACTTTATTTGAATGTTTTTTGTTATAATAAAGTTTCTAATCTTCATTATTCATATTGTATTCTTTTTCTTAAAGATCTTATTTTGTCTACTTGTTTCAAACTTTTATTAATGTTTTTTATTGCAACATTACTATTTGTATAAATTTCTATTTGCTTTTTTTTTGATATTGTTAAAATTGCTATTTATATTGCTACTAGTTTAGCTATCTTTAATGTCTACTGTCTTTCTAGACCTAGTGCTACTTTTTCTTTTGGCTATTCTTATATTTTATTTATTTAAACCTATCCTATGCCTATCTTATTTTTAGTTGTTGTATCTTTTTAGCCTTTATATTTGTTGTATAATTTGTGTATATTATATACTTTACTTTGTTTCTTGTTATATTTCTTTTTAAGACTTTTATTATTTCTTAGTTAATATTTTTTTTTAGCTTTTATTGTCTAATAATTTCTATTTCTAACTCTTTTATTGTTCTAAGGCCTTCAAGTTTTTGTTTTTTAAGTTCTGGTCTGTTTGTCTTTATTGTTTCAGTTATTTGATCTATTGCTATATTAATTTTGTTATTATCTTTCTTTATTAATATATCTAAAATTATGTTAATTTTGCTATTTACTCTAATCTATTGCTAACAGCTATCTTTTGTCAGTTTCTCTTTTTTTGTACAACTATTAAATCTATTTATTTCAATAGCTAATTCATCTTCTTTATTTTGCATTTGCCAGTGTTTTACTAATATTTTTTTCTTTTTCTTCTTAACTATCTTTTTCAACTGTCTATGATTTTGTATATTGTATACTATTTATTTTTTTTCTTTTATTTTTTAAAATACTTTTTTATTTTATTTGCATTGTCTAGATATTTTGTTTGTTTGTTCTAAAGTGTTTTTTAATCTCTTTGCTTTTTTGTTTACTAAACACCTTTAATTTTATTATTTTTAACCACTTTGTTTTTTTTTCTTTGCTTGATAGGCCTTGATAATTTTTTAGCTGTTGTTATATAATTAATCTTTCTTCTTTTATACTAAGCAGTTGATTTAAGTATACTAAATCTGCTTTATTTATTCAAGTTCTGCTTTTTTCTATAAACAAGTATTTACTAACTTATTTATTTTGGTACTGTATCTAAAAATTGTTTATAAATTACTTTTTGTTTTTATGTTTGTCTTTAACTTTCATGTCTTTAATATTGTTAGACAAGCCAAGTTATTTTTTTACCCCTCTGTATTCTTTGATATCTCTTCTAACTTCTATATATCTTTTGTTAAATCTGCTTTCTGACAACTTTGCATTATTTTTAGTTTTGTTAAATATTCAAAACTGTCTTATCTGTTTAATCTTGCTAATAGGCTACTTATTTGTTTTATTACTAATTCTTGTTACAATGTTCTATAGCTTCTAAGATCTTTGTATTCTATTATGCAGTTTTCAATGTTCTTTGCAGGTTACTCTTCAGTTTTACTAAACTTATTATTAGTTAATATATTTTATTTATATTTCTTTCTGACATCTTTGTTAATTGTAACATATAGCTTAATTTTGGTATTATTTTCATATTGTTTATATATACAATCTAACTTATTAATATTTTTTTATACTTGAAAAAACACTTTAAATTGCAACATTCTTTTACTAAAAGCCAATATCCAAATTAACTTCTTCAAATCTATCTTTATATCAAATCAACCCCAAACTACTACTTAATTCTTTAATTTTATGCTTACATCTATTCCAGCCAACCAACCTTTTAAATTTCTTGGTTGCTAGTTTACACTTAACAACAAACAAACTGCACAAATTAAACTAATTTAAGAAGAATCACTCCAACTTATAAACATTGCAAGTACCAAAAAAATTACAGATAAACAAATAATTTATATTATCAACACAGTTATTATTCCTGTACTAGAATACTGAATATACAATATAGTCCTTCCTTATTCTGTATACAATAAAATTCTAGCCAAATATTTAACTATAGCCAAACATAAATCCCATCTAGCTTGTTCCATCCTGAATAACATCATGCTCAACCTATTTTTATATAATATACACAATATCTGGGATATCCAGCTTCAACATCATATATCTAACTTTATGTTACAAATTAACAACTCTGATTTATTAGGAACTTCTACACACATTCAACTATAACAATTACAAAATAATCTTTGGTCAACTACAAATATATTACAACACCCCCAATTCAATATTGATGGACCTAATAGATATACTTTAAACTTTAAAATTATCCAACTTTTTATACATATTAACATGTCTATAACAGCTAATAATAGTGTATCTTGGCCTAATACTTTACAATACAACCTTCAATCACTTGAACCAATCATGTCTTCATATCCCCAATATACTATCTTTAAAAAACAACTTAGAAAACTTAATATTCTGTATCTTAAACAACTCTGCACTGCAGACAATACTACTTTACTCCTATGGAATTATCTCTCATTTTGTTTAATACAGCTATCTAAAGAACATAAGCCATCCTGGTTTACATGTTTAGAGAATACTATAACAACTAACAATAGCTCTAGAACACTACTTTCACAATATCAACAAACCAAATATAACTCTTTTGCTTACAACTCTTAACACATCTCTAAAAACTCAAACCCTGGCTACTAACATACAATAATAATGATATTATTATTAACAAAATTTAAGGATACTTTAAAAATGACAACCAAATCTCTATCACACACTGGAAAACAAATATTAATACAAAACTCTCTACTTACTATCCCCTTCTATTAATTCAATGCTCAGCTTGTACAGGTTGTTACCTTAACTCCCACAGAGTTGCAAACTGCTATACAATTAATGTATCATCAATAATCTCTACCCAATTTCTTAAAAGAGTTTCTTTTAATACTCTCAACTTTAATGCAAACTATATTGATCTGATTCATTCAACTGCAATTAAATATCCATTATCCCTAACTTCTGTCTCTATCTTCTGTCCCTACCTTTTGTCTCTACTATTTATATCTTCAACTTTCCTATATTAGAAATTTTTAAGCAAGAAGAAGCCACATATACACTCGAACAATATTCTTTTATCAATACAGTACAAAATACATTTAACTTCTATATAGATGGCTCTGTAATTGACATCAGTACAGATCAATATACAATGGGTATTGGATGGTACAAGTTAATGATTCCAACCAAATAATCTATAAATTCTCAGCTAAAATCCATTACTAGCCATCTTTTTACAAAGCTAAACTAATATCAATTCTTTTAGCTATTTCAATTACCTCTTGCAACTCAATAATCAACATCTTCACTGATTCTTAGTCTATAATTACTAAGGTAACATTTACCAACGTGACCTTGTATATTAATAAACAACTAATAAGAAATTAATATTAGAAAATGTAACAACTCTGAGGTTTCACAAGCTATAAAAGGAAATAAAATATAAACCAATGATAAATTTTATATTCATATAAACAGTAATCTAACAAAAAAGCTCTGCATTAAATTTTAAAAAAATTTTTTATAATATTTATTTTCTAAATATTATTATGTATTTGGCAAATCAAATCCATTAAGCGAATTTGATTGTTATTGTGTTGGTAGAATATTAAAACCCAAAAAGAAAATTAAATTAAAACATATAAAACAAATAGTTCAAGATGATTTAAAAGATAGTGTTCATTGTAAAGCAGAAATTCATTTTATTGCAAAAAATAATGAAATACAAGATCAGTATATAAATATTGTAAGCATAAGCATATTTTTATTTTAGAAGTTTTTCGAATAACTGATGATGTAATTATTTATATAAACCAAAATTTAATAAATATCTTAATTTTTTATTAACATGCTACATTTTAATATTATATTTTTCTAAATCAAATTAAAAAAATATTTAATACATATAAAAATATTGAACATATTTTGTTCGTTGTTCCAACGAATCCAAAATTCGCTTTTCTCCTTTGGCGAATTTTGGAAGCATAAAAAAAATCAAGAGGAGTATATAAAAAAAAATAGAGATAAAGATAAAGATAATAAAATTATTAATATAAAATCACCAGTAAAAAAAATTGCTAGTATAAATGTATCTAAAATGTCTATAAATAAAACACAAAAAGAATTTTGTATGTATATAATAAATAAATTTTATTAAATATTGTTTTTTGAGTTTATTTAATTTATTATTACATAAAAATTAACAGTTAATAAAATAATCTGAAATAATAATTTGGGTCTAAAAATATATAGGTGAAAATTAATTTTAAATGAATAAAGTTGTTTAATCAAGTTTGATAATATATTTATTAGAATTTTTAGCATTTTTAATATTATCTTGCATTTTTTCATAAAGTACAACCAAATGATTTGTTTTTTTCATTTTATAATTATTACAGATACCAAAAAGTGTTTCTATGTTGAATATTATTATTTTGTACATTTCTTTACTATTAATATTAATTGCATTGCAACTTTGTTGGATATAATCTTTTTGTAATCTAGTAAGTTTTAAGCTTTTGTTAAATTGTTTTAATATCCATTAAGGAATATGTATGTTTTTTGATTTAGATTTATTTTTTACTACTATTTTTTCATTATTTTGTTTATCATACTCTTTCTTTTTCAAACTTACTGTTCAATAATGACATTCGAGCTTTGTGATTGAAATCAACAAGCTTTTTTTATCTTTATATAAATGTGGCAAAAATTTATATTTTGAATATTTTATCAAGAGATTTATAACATATTCATTTAGATTTGTTGAGATGTTTATTTCAGATAAAATTCTTTTATATTTTTTGACAAATTTTGCTTCATTTTCAACTTTATAAATTTTTGTATAATGTAATATTTGCATAATTGCTTAAAAAAACTTTTCATATAAATTTGGATCATCAATTTCAATCTCCTCAAAAATTTTATAGTAATCTATATATTTTTCAAGAAAATGATAGATAGAATCTTTATAATGTTTTTTTTCATATTGCTTAGATAATATAGCAATTAATTTTTGAGTTTTTTTAGATAAGCATTTTTTAGCTTGTTTCTTGACTAATTTATTGACTAAAATGTTTAATGACATTTTAGATCAGTTAAATAAAATAGTTTGGTTTAAAAAAATTACTTGTAAATTTACATTAGTGAAAAAAAATTTTTGATATTATTTATAATTTTTATTTATATTATGTAAACTAAAACAACAATTATAATATATTAAAATATGAATTTGAATGAGTTAAATTATTTAGTATAATAAATAAATAATATAATAAAATATTAACTATATAAAATTATGTATTCTAATTTAGTTTTAACTAAACATATTTTAAAATTGATTATTATAAAAAATATATTCTTTAACAAACATTGTTGATGAATTTTGTATAATTTCAGTTATACATAGCATATAGCATTCTTCAATAAAATCAATTTGTAAGCTATATTTTATTTTGTTATCATAAAGACCTGTATTAATTAATGATACATATTTTTTAAATTCATCAAAATTGAATTCATTAGTTTTTAGATATGTAATAATATGATCAAATTTTTGATTCTTTTGACAAAAATTATATATATCAGAAAAATCATTGCAACTAATAATATTGTGGTCAAAGGTTATATAATTTGTAAATTTCATTTTAAAAAATTTTAATCAAAAAAAAAACCAGAGTTTTGAATTTATAATTTTATTTAATTAAAATCTTAGGTGTAATTGGTTGAACCTACTGTATGGCTTTACTTGCTTATGCCGAGCAGCCCTACACAAGCGTTTGCTTGCAGACATTCAGTCACCACTATGGCTTAATACAATTGATCATGCAATTGCCTAGGCCACATTGAAGATGAAAATCTGACTTACAGCCAGATTTTGCCTGGCACAAATCGGCAATAGCATTATTCTTATTTAAAATTAATTATTTTTATTATAGTATATTTATTATTGTTATTTAATAAACCAGAGCAGTAATACTAAAAAAAGAATTTTTAAGTCAAAAATTTGATTATCATAATTAGCAAATTCAAGTTTAATATTTTCAATTGAATGTTTTAAAATTAAAAGTCTTGTTTGTAATGATGAAGAGAAATAAGTAATGTTTTCATGTTCTTGGGTTTCTTGTTGTTTTTGTTGATTTTGAGAAGACATTTTTTAATAAAAAAAAATAAATTTCATCGCTTTTTATTATTAAAAAAATTATTAAATATACTTTATTTATAATCAGTAATGCTAATATAAAATAAAGATGGATTATTTTATTAAAGTTTAATTTATTATTAATTGGTATTAAAGTAATTAAATTAAATTTATTACAGTGATTTTGTGACATTTCATAATTTTTTCATTTTTTTTGAAAAAAAAATTTGAAAAATTTATCATAAAAAAAAAATTGAACATCAAACAATCACAAGTTTTAAAATTTCATTATTTTTGATTGGTAGTAAACAATTATCATATGATTAAATTTTCTTATCATTAAAAATTATTTATTATAAATAAATTTTTATTGATACAAAAATTACTTTATTAAGAAATATTAAAAAGAAGAAATCAATAACAAGTTTATAGCCTTCCAGATTAACAAGAAAAAAATAATAAAAAGATGAAAACAAATTCTTTATAAAATTAATTTCTTTATATCAAATTATGTATTAAACAAAAATGCCTTTCTTCAAGAACATTATTAACAAAATTAAAAATAAATTTATGAAAACAAAAACATTTGAAGATGATAATTGGAATGATATAATTCAAGATAATTTAAATTAGACAAGTACTTCGTCGACTGTTAATAATGAAGACTATAAAATCTTCAAACCAACAATCAAAGAAGAACTTCAATTTATTAATAAAATTAAAACTACTAACTATATTATATTTACAAGTTATGAAGAATTTAAAAACTATCTTGTTGAAAATAATTTAATTAACCCTTTGTTAAAAATTTACCATGACATTAAATACAAAAGACTAAACAACATCTTGTCCTGAATAGAATTTTATATTCGTTCAACATTCTATAACTGGGGTGATGGATATTATTTTTCTTATATAAATAATACATTAGATTTAAATAAAGATGTTAATAAATTTTATGTTACTTTAATTGATAAATATTTTTCAGAAGTTAATGAATATGTTAAAAAATATAATGTTAAATA